GAGGGAATATTTCCTTTTGCCCTTCTTGGTTTGTACTCTTTTTTGTACCCATAACTTCCCTCAAAACTTTTAGAATTTCTGTCGTTATGTTCATAATTTCTTCCGGAGTTTTTTGTGTGCCCAGCCGTACCTTTAAAATCGCTTGAATTACCGCCCTTTCGCACGTCCAATGTTAGTAGGCTGGTTTCATCAGTCATTTATTGTATCAAAGTGCGTTCCTCTACCTCGCTCAATTTCAGGACTAACGTTCTCAATTTGGCGAGGTTCATCGTTCCTGAACTCATGAGGTAGTAAATTTCGTAGAACGATGAGTGGAGACCATTCTCGAAATGGTCCCTAAAAGTATCGAAGGGCATCTTAGGGTCTATCTCATAAGCTAGGGCGTATAACTCGAAGTAGAAGTGCTTGATTTCCTCGTTTTCCTGTTGTCTTCTCGTATTCAACCTGAACTTCAATTTTCTTAGCGGTTGTTCTCCGCTAAACTCCTTCGAGAAGTCTGTTTTTATATTTTTCCATGTTTGGTTTTGATGTGCCTGGCTTGATTTATATGCTGAAAACCAGCTATTTGGGGCGCCTTCTAAGAAACATCCAAAGAAAGATATTTTGTAGGTATCGGACCAGCCACTCAGGGCTGCTGCTCTTCCATATTTGCTCAGAAAATTAATTGATGAATCTAAACTTGGGTTGAAAGTCGGTGGTTCTATGAATTTAGGGGTTGCGGGACTTTTGGCTTCTAACGAAACGTTTGTGTTTGCCATTTTCCGGCTTCCTCGTGACTCCGGATTTATTGCTTGATGATTTTCTTTTTAACTTCTTGTCTGGAGTTGCTTCGATATTTTAGACCGATACGTCGGCTGTTTTGAGACTATCACTGTTTAGTCTCGCTGGGAAGAAGGTCTTTACTTTCTCTTGCTTATTACTGGATTCAACTTCTACGAATATTTTATGCTCGGATGTAAATGATCGGGTGAGAGTGCCAACTACCGTGCTTCGGTGTGTAGAGTTGAAATTAATTTTCTTGATGCTATCGCTTCTCTCCTGTTTTTCCGAATGCCATCTTGCTTTACTACGTGTCACTCCCTCTGCATCACTTCCACTGATTAGCAATTAATAAAAAAGGTCTCTTCTGTCCGGACTTATTCTCCTCAGACCTTTTAAGACGATATGAGGTCATGAGATCCAAAAGAAAAAAATGCAAACGCAATTTTTTTTATTAATCGGGGGAATTATATAGAAATGCAGCTCAAAAATATTTAAATTGCCCAAAACAAAAAAAAAAAAAATACTAAGATTGTACTGGCACTTTTTGATTCACGTAACACCCAAATAGAAAAAAAAGAAAATTTGTACAAAATAATAACACCAAATAGGAAGATTTGGCGAAAGGGAAAGAACACGGCACCTCCACCACGTGCGGCGAGCGACCTCGGAGCAGGGGCTTCTGTCCACCAGCACAGATGGGCTAGAACCCCCTATGCGTATCACGCATTCGTCCCGCATCGCAGTGTCTCGGATTTTCTCTCTTCTTTGACGCCCGACGTCCGCGCGGCCACAATTGGACACACATCACTAAAGACGACCCTACACTTAAAGTCGAAGCCTTTGCCGATAGCCTCCAGGGGCAGTTCACTTCAAACCCCCCGCTTCACCAAGACCAGGACCAACTTGTAGACGAGACACTCCAAATTGCACTAGACCAACATCAAGACCTCCAGCCTCCAGTCTTCAACACCGACCAGATAAGACAAATCATCGCCGCCCTTGAGCGCCAAGAAGCCCCCGGTTTGGACGGCATCCTCAACATGGCCCTGAGGAAACTACCTCAAAAACAAATAGAGGACCTCACGCACATTATACAAGCCATTTTCACCCTGGGACATTTCCCCGTCAGCTGGAAAACGGCTAACATCATTTTAATCAAAAAACAAGGAGAATCCAGCAACAACACCACAAGTTACCGCCCCATCAGCTTACTCCCTGCACTTGGGAAAGTCGCCGAAAGAGCCATAAAATGGGACCTCCAAAACACCGTCGACGCTTTAAACCTGTTACCCGACGAACAAATGGGTTTCAGGAGCGGGCACTCAGCAACAACCCAAGCCACTCGACTGTCCTCCCTCATTTACCAAAGGTTCAACAGGGAATATGGAAACTGGGGCCATTTTCCTGGACATCGCTAAAGCATTCGACAGAATGTGGCACCAAGGACTCCTCCTTAAGATGCTACGACTAAATATGCCATTATACCAAATACAACTGGTACGCTCCTTTTTAACCGACAGGAAGTTTAGAGGGTGACAATTAACAGCCACTCTGCCAACGAAACACACTCAACATTTGGACCAGTCTTAGAGGGAGCCCCCAGGGCTCACCGCTCAGCCCACTGCTGTTTAACCTTTTCATGGCCGACTTACCTACCTCTCCAGAGACTGCTCTACTATCCTACGCCGACGACACTGCGATAGTTACCACTGCCAGGACCCGACCCATAACAAGACGTCGCCTCCAAAGGCACCTCAACAGCCTCGAAACCTAGATGGACAGATGGCGCCTTCAGGTCAACCCAAGGAAAACCCAAGCCATCTGGTTTTCCAAGAAAAGGAGAAACCCACCACCAGAGAAACCAAAATGGAAAAACGCTGACCTGCCATGGAAATCTCACGTTAAATACCTAGGAGTCATCTATGACTGCCACTTGAACTGGAGACTCCAGGTAAAATACGCAAGGAACAAGACCAGCGGACAGCTAACACAACTCTACCCAGTGTTAAACACAGACAAACTCTACATACGTCCCATACTGACATATGGTACTCCCGCCTGGTACGCCACAGCAACACCTGAAGTCCGCAAACCCTTAGCCTGCCTTGAAAATCGAATCCTCCGTAACCGCTTCCTAAACCCACCGTGGTTCGTCAGGAGTACAACCATCAGTAGAGACACACAACTAGAGAAAATGGACGACCATATACAAGACCTACACACCAACCACTTTACGAAGGCCCAAACTTCTACAAATCCCCTAATTAGGGATTCTCACACACCAGCCCCGCCGGGTTCAAGACAGCCCCTCCCAGGGAACCAAATTTAAGGCAGCGACGTCAAGCCTACCTCTCACAGATCCGCCATGTAGGATCAACCCTTTCCTACCATGATCTGGGACTCCAGAAGATACACTAACAAAAATATGGGAACATAAAATTAACAACATTTTTTTAACATTCAGCCAGGACAAAAAAGAAAAAACAATTGGACACTCTTCTTCTTCTGTTCACAGGTACCAGCAGCCCAGACCACCAGCGCCTAGACCACCGACCACCGACCACCGAGGTAAGCCGCTGGCTTGGATTCCGCTCCGACGTAGTCAGCGCCGTCACGACGCCTCAGTAAATCGTACGATCTGGGTGAGTGGGACTACTTTTTATACAGTGATGTACACGGACTGAATGGGGTTACGGCCCTATTCTGTCTGTGACGGACAATGGGGGTTACGTGCTGGACCGTTTACAGGGTGGCACCCGTTGTCCTTATATCAATGTATATTCAGTATTCTTCACTTCACACATGTCGTTTCTTTCGTGCATGATGCTCTTGCTATACAGGGGGATACACAGATTGGATGGGGTTGGACCGCTTACGGGGTGTCCCTATTCTTTCTGTGACGGACTTGAGGGGGTTACGAGCTGGACCGTTTACAGGGTGGCTCTCTCTGTCCTCATGCCTTTGTATATTAAGATACCGTGATACGTCATGCACTCCGCACCGATCGCCTAAAGGGCCAAATCACCAGCACTGACGGCTGAAGGAGCTGGATCCCCCGAGAGTGGACCTGCAGAGCCTTTCACCCCCGCGTACCGTTACCGTCCCGCGTAACCGTCCCGTCTAAGCTTTTGCATTTACCACCGCATAATCTTAAAAGCACGCTAGTATTCGTTTACACACTCGCGCTCTCTCTCTCTTTTCGTCATTCCGTCAGTTCATTGAATAGGTATTACCTTTCTATCATTTTCATTACGTATTGCATCTATTATTTTTCGACCTAATAAACTTAATTTGTTGGTTACATTTCCGTTTCATTTTGGGGAGGCGCATATTGACCTCTGGTTTTCCGTCTCCACTGGTAAAATCTACCTGGAGCACGTGGGCCCTTAAACACTATAATACTAAGGGGTGGCGCCCGAGTATTCCGAAAACTCCTTACCGTACGGAAAACCAAAGTAGCGCTACACTATTCTCGTTTTTAATTTTTTCATTGTTAACTTCAGATTTAAAATCAGGAGAGACCTATGGTTGGTTGATTTGCTAATATCCTACTTGTTTTAACATATCTGGTGAACAGGGTAAGCTGTGCTTGTAACTTTGCTTTTAAAACATTTTCTTTCACAAAAACCAGAATTTTTTGAAAATTATTGCGAAGAAATAAAAAATTATAAACTTGTTTTCTCTGCGAATACTCATTGTCATGTTAAACTAGTGGGGGCTATAGGTTTAATAAAGCAACTTGGTCACAGCCAAAAGGAATCCGCTCATAACTTTTTTGTTTTCGAAGAAAAAAACACAAATTAATATAAGTTCTGTTTGACCGGAATTTAACTAACCTTCATCAACACCCTCCGATATATTTCTAGAACATCACAAAATTACCACATCTGCGTTTTGAATAGGTAGGTACTCAAGTTATTTTCATACCAATTTAATTAGATATCGATTGTGTGGTACTGAATTGTACCAAATTCTGAATCTAATAACCTAGAATGTAATTTTCTATCAAAATAAGGAATAATAAACCAGGCCATCCGTTTAAATTTAAAATAAGCAAGAGTATGTAATGCCCGGTTAAAACATAAAACAGATTTACCTAATTTTAGCCTTTTTCCCCAAAACAAAGCGCGTATTTTCGGATTCCTTTTCCTTGTGACCCATCAGTACACATAGGTACTTATAAGTTTATACTGCAATAGGTATATTCATCTCAAAACAATTCACTATTTGAAGCATTATTATTCTTTTTCAATACAAATTCCATTTGCATCCGTGCAAAAAGTCGGCATGCACCAACAGCCTCCATGCAGCACTCCTGAGCAGTCGATGAGTGTATGGAACGTTGCACATCCGTTGGCGCAATTGTTACTGTATCGTGAAACTTCGTTGTTGCTAGTGTTGCACGGACAATTCTCAGGTTGAACGCAAGTGTTGGTTGTTTCGTCCAAGACGAATGTATTTTTGCAGTAACATGACAAGGTTAGTTCGATGAGTCCGAAGCAAGAGTCTGAAAAGCGATCAAATACAAATTAAAGTTTCTAGAATCTTGACTACACTGTTCAATAAGTTGCCTGTCCAGATTCGACGAATTGTAGATTACAGGGTGTTTAGAAATACGGTGAAAAGACTCTTGGCTGCGGAGGGGTTTTACAGTTTTGATGAGTTCCTTTCCCATAATTTCAATTAGGTTTAAATGACTAGCTAGCTAATGCCACCCTAGATATTCATTCATTTATAGGTAGATATTGATAATTTTATTTTTTTATTTTTTTTTTTTATTTTAATTTTAATTTTAATTTTGATTTTAATTTTGATTTTGATTTTAATTTTAATTTTAATTTTAATTTTGATTTTAATTTTGATTTTGATTTTGATTTTGATTTTGATTTTAATTTTAATTTTAATTTTGATTTTATTTTAATTTTGATTTTAATTTTGATTTTAATTTTAATTTTGATTTTAATTTTAATTTTGATTTTAATTTTAATTTTGGTTTTGATTTTGATTTTGATTTTGATTTTGATTTTAATTTTGATTTTGATTTTGATTTTAATTTTAATTTTATTTTTATTTTTATTTTTATTTTTATTTTTATTTTTATTTTTATTTTTATTTTTATTTTTATTTTTATTTTTATTTTTATTTTTATTTTTATTTTTATTTTTATTTTTATTTTTATTTTTATTTTTATTTTTATTTTTATTTTTATTTTTATTTTTATTTTTATTTTTATTTTTATTTTTATTTTTATTTTTATTTTTATTTTTATTTTTATTTTTATTTTTATTTTTATTTTTATTTTTATTTTTATTTTTATTTTTATTTTTATTTTTATTTTTATTTTTATTTTTATTTTTATTTTTATTTTTATTTTTATTTTTATTTTTATTTTTATTTTTATTTTTGTTTTTGTTTTTGTTTTTATTTTGGTTTTTGTTTTTGTTTTTAATTTTTATTTTTGTTTTTATCTTCATTGTTTAGTGATTAGAATTTTATTACTAGTTATCAAGATATGTAATCTATTAGGAAGTTGGATCTTATGGATATTATGATTATGTAGTTTATTTTCCACAGCTTTGTAAATGAGACTATGTCTTCCTACAATAAAGCAATATTGATTTGATTTGATTTGAAGTGATTTACCGAGGAAGTGGAGCTGACTTTAATGGAAAATTAAGTTTATTCTATAATAGTGCCGTTAGTGAATATGTGAGAAGTTGGGAATAGTATATTACATACCGAGTAGGGAAGTGTTTCATTACTGTCGAGAGATTCATATAGTTAATCGAGACGCGAAGCGTCGAGATTGACTAATAATCTCGAGACAGAAATTAAAACTTCCCTCCGAGGTTTGTATACTATTTTATTTGCAAGCACACCATTAATTATGAGTCAATCAATTTTTTTAATATTGAAAAAATAAAACAAACATTCCAAAATGTGTCATTCGCTGCTTTGACGTTTTTACCTGATATGTTTTCATTGTTGCCAGCAAAGATAAATAAATTAGAGTGAGGGAAATCGGTGAGGGAAGTCGAATAGGGAAATCGAAGAGGGAAGTGACACAGGTAAAGTGTCACTTCCAAATTTTTAAAAAGTCAGTATTGACAAGATTACATATATGATTGCAAATAAAATTAGTTTATTTTTTGAGAGACAAAACTCAAAAAACTGACATGCGACTTTAAGAAATCATGATAATCTCAATAATGATTGGAACATTGAATTACTGGAGGTTTTAGTTTTGTGACTAGTTAAGCTTGATTGCAGTTGAACGAAGACAACGAAGTGTAGAATAATTTTTGTGTTATTGTCTTGAATAAAGCTAATTTAATTGTGGTATGTCTGACTTATTTACGAGCTCGCATAGCTAACAATGAAACTTGAGATATTATGCTCGCTGAGGCACTCAGTTATTAACCAAAAAATGTACGAATTTGATGCACCTAAGTATTCAGCTAAAACTTTCCATCAACCATCCACGACGCCAAAAAGCCGATTATCTCAAAAAGTACAAGTGCTACCAAAAAAAGTTAAGGTTGTCGCTCACTGGAGCGCAGCGCACGGCAGCGCGGCGGAGAGGAATTTTTAAATACATTGTTTTAAATGGGAGTACGCTCACTTGTCGGAAGAGTACCGATCGGCATACTCCCATTTAAAACAATGTATTATAAAAAGTCCTCTACGCCGCGCTTCCGTGCGCTGCGCTCCCGTGCGCTGCGCTCCAGTGAGCGTCAGCCTTTACAGGACCTTTTTTGGAACTTAATCAATGATATGTTATTGTATCTAGCGAGATGTTGCTTATGAGTTGAATTGGTAAAAAATAATTTATCGTGCATATTTAAATTTGCTCGTGACTGTATCGTGATTTATATAACTTACCAGGATTATCACTTAGGGCTCTCTTATTACATGTTACAGTACAATTCGAATTATCGTATCTCAATTCCGCATTAGGATCGTTACATTCATTATTTCCAGTCGAATACTCAGTAGAATCATAACAATACGCTAGAATAACAATTATTGTTAAAAAAAATTAAATATGCAAATTAATTGATATTAGGTACCCAAACATATTATGATTTGAAAAAGTACAAATAATACGAACGTCTTCATTGTTGGGTGTGGCAATGTGGCAAAAATTTTACAATACAAATAAATTTAAGGTAGAGTCAACTAGTTTCACGATTATCTCATAAGTAAAACGTGCACAATTAAAATATCAATAATTTACGCTGATAAAGGTAATTTATTATTAGAAAAGTATAATTTATTTTTCAAAACATAAGTTAATAACGAAAAATAATGTATTAAACTTGTATATACCTTTATACCTATCTAACCACTAAACCACTCAAGATTAGCAAATAATTTATACCTTACCTACTTTTAGCACCATATACCAGGGCACTGGCGTATCCAGGGGGGGGGGGGGGGGGCAATTGCCCCCCCCCCAGAGCAACATCTTTTTATTCCTTTTATTTTTTAAAAATTTGTCGAATAATAAAAAAATAAATTCAAAAATGTACTGAAATTAATTTAATAAATAATACTTTTTCCTACAGCCGTGCGGATATGCGTGCGGAAAATGAGTTTTCCCGCACAGTGCGGTAAAACTTTTTTTTTACATATCAGTGCGGAGAAAGTTTTTCCGCACGGCTGTCAGTGCGGAAAAAATTTTACCGCACTGATATGTCAAAAAAAAAAGAAAAATTTTACATTTTTTCGCCTGTAGGAAAAATATTGTACCTAACACTTGCGGAAAATATTTTTGCACACTCGGCTGCATCACCGAACTCCGCTACGCGTCGTTCGGTGAACGGCAACTACATGAACAGGTAGCTTTTTTGTAAATAGAAACTGTTCAGTTGTACGCTATGCTTGACAATCAGGGAATAGAAGTCAAAATACTCGTTTTATATTCAGCATAATGTATATTACTAGCTGCCTAGCGCTTTCGCCTTTGAGCCATCATCAGGGCCGGCCCTACCATAAGGCGAACTGAGCGAGCGCTCCAGGCACCAGACCTCGGGGGGCGCCTTCGACTCGTTCCTTGGTAATACAAAAAAAGGGAAAAGTATATTTTCGCTTTGAATTCTGTCTCTGCTTTACGATATCATGCTTCTCTGCTTGTGAGCAAGCTTGTGCTTACTTAGTATGAGAATAACCTGTCCTGACGTTTTTTTGAGACGCAGCCGGATCGTGGGTGTGGTGGCGCCCTTACCCGATCATTTGATCACGATATTTCGGATAGTGATAACAGTCACCCGAAAGCAGTCCTTCAGGCGTTAGCATTTAATAATTGGCAAGATACGTTTCCTTATATCTGGACAGCTCTCCGTATTTTTGTTACCATTCCTGTTACAGTGCGGAAAGGTGAACGGAGCTTTAGTAAGCGTAAGTTAATTAAAACTTACCTTAGCGGTCAACTCTAGCAGAAGAGAAACCTTAAGATCTAGCCCTGCTGTCCATTGAAAATGTTATAGCTCAGATATTGTCATATGAGGAGATCATAAATAAATTTGCCAATGCAAAAGTATGCAAACACACAAAAATTTCGTATTTTGTTTGTTCGATTTTTATATTTATTAGGCCCGGTTTATTTATATTCAGATAAACAACCAATGGAATTAGAGATTGCATTTTTATCGGTCGGTCAGATTGCATACCTGACAGTTTATCAGAAGGTGAATAAACCGGCCCTAATGGCCGTTTCCACAAACTAGGAAGTCCTCATGCGTCAGATGCTACGCTAATACGGTACCTACCGCTAACAATACGGTATTTTACATGATATTTTATAGTTCTCGAGCACGAAGACACATAAATCCTCTAATCCCTTATTCTGTTTACATTTTGACAGCTGAGTTGAGTAATCTAACCCCACTTTTATTGCTTGTTTTCTAACTTTTATTTATTCTGAAGATTCCTGAGCTTGAATAATTTTCCCTTGGTGTTTTTTATGGAGGAATTATTAGAAGTTGCTGTTTTTGTAGACATAAATGGAGCGTAAACTAGTTTTGACAGAGCATAGCGTTACGGTAAGTTCCGTTAAATAGCGGGCTCCGCTAACGCTTATACCGTAAGAACTGTCATACTGCTTGTCAAGCGTTGTCAGCGTTACGGTATTTGAAATGTAAACGGCCCGAGAACTCTCGGCCTATTACGATAAGTATTTCCTAAACTGACATTTCTCCATGGAAAACTGTCAGTCTAGGGAATACTTATCGTTTAAGGCTTCCCGAAAATAACTAGTTGGTGGAAATGGCCATAAGTGTTATAAGTGATATTACCAAAGTCCAAAGTGGATTATTGATTGATCCCATCAAAGAATGTGAACTAAATGTTAGTAAATAAGAGAACTTTGTACCAACGAACAGAAATGTTTTGAATTTTCAATTGGTAAGATAAATAGAGACATTGAGCTTTTGTTTGTTCCAACCCAGCAGGAAACCGTAATATTATCGTCAGGATTCTGCGCAAAACCTAAAATTTTTGCATAGAAACTGAAATTCGTATACAGAGTGGTTCCTAAACCGTTCTGGGACGTTTTTTTGACGGGTTGGAACAAACCTATTAAATTAGATAATGGTCAAAATCCATACTCGCGTATGCGAATCACATTTAAACTAGGGGCGCCAAAGTCAGATCTCGCTCCATACTAAAAGTAGCCTCGGGCCGGCACTGGCCATCATCACTCATCAGGGCTCAGACTTTGTCAAAAGGCGACACCACCAAAAACACAAAAACCAACTTTCTCAAAAGCAATAATAGTTGTCTGGTAAAGCTGGTAATGCAAAAGGTACCTTTATGATTCAATCTTTCTGTGGAATGTACAATCATTTAGCTCCTATTGCGTAACCTATATTTCAAATTTGGGCTTAATCCCTCGAAAGCCGCAGGAGCTATAAAGAAAAAACTAAAAAATATATTGAAATTTCAACACCTTGTAGATCGGTAACGAAGCGTTTGCAAACCCATGTTTCTTTGAAATTTTATTTAGTCATAAGAAAAAACCAAAGAATCGCCCCTTCCGTTTCTACATGCATGATATTTAGTATTAAGGAACACCCTGTATATACCCATATTTATATTTTAGTTATTGCAGTGTGAATTTTTTTAGTAATTTAGGCCCAGTTTCACAATCGGTGGTAACCAGCGCTGGTTAGTCAACTAGGGGTCAGGAGTTAACTGGGACTTCGCTCACTAACCTGTTTCACACTAAACAAACAATCGTTGGTTAAATGACTAATGGTTGAATTTTATTTCTCAAAGGTTGGTACTTGATTTTTTGTCAAAATTTTTAAAACCACCTTGAAAAATAAAACAAGGCCCCTTTAAACTTCACTATAACGTCACTTTTTGTGATTTGTCATTAATAAAGTATATTAATTTGTGTCAGTGGCAGTAAAATTTCAAAGATACCTACCTATTCAATTGAATATTGGGTTTTGTGTCGTGTTTCCTGTTCAAATTTAAATCCCGAAGTCAAGTTAGAAAATGTCTGCGAATTTTCCAAAGGATGAAGAGTGTCTCTCGTGTAAAAATATAAGTTTATTATAGAATGTAAAAAAAGCGGCGCATCGACGTGGAAAAAAATAAGAAAATGCTTGGAGAAGGGTGGGAGCAGATTTTAATTCCAATTGTATCACTAACGGAAAAAAAAATGCAAAAGTTTTCATTCAATAATTTTACCTTTTCAAACTTGACACTTTTGAACTGCCCTAAAAAACGAAGCATTTCAGCTAACTCATAGTTAACTCGTTCGCATCCTTGGGTTAATTCAACTACTGGTTAACTAAAGGTGTCACGTTGAACCGTCAATTGTGAAATGCTGTTTTCGTTTTAACTAGTAGTTATCTCATAACTAGTAGTTTACTACACTTTGTGAAACTGGGCCTTAAAGTATTTATTATACAGGGTGGGGCACGAAAAATTTCCCACCCAGGTTTTCTCAGGTGTTAGGTGATCAATCAAAAATCGCTCGAACACATCAATTTTTGTTTTTCAGGGGACACATTTCATTGGTATTTTCACTCCCTACCTGTCAACCCCTAAGCGGGGGAGACAGGTACCTCCAAAATTTCAAATGCAAAAGGGGGTCGAGTGATACGTCATTTGGTAGCTATTTTTGTAAGAATTATATCCTCAAAGTTTTAAGTTGCTACTATTTTTTCTACCGAAATGGCAGTGTGTCAAAGTTAGGAAAAATGCTTTTTTCTACTGACGTTTCATAATAGCAACTTTTCGATTGTCATTTCAGTTTTGAAACGACATTCTTTTAGGCACTGAGTGCGTGAAAGTTACTTTTAGGCACTCAGTGCGCAAAAGTGACTTTTGAATGCGTAAAAGTGACTTATGAGTGCGTAAAAGTAATTTTTAAGCACTAGTGCCTAAAAGTGTCATTCATTATTCAGAAATAAAAAACACACTGAACACATATTTGAATTTTGTTTTGTATTTATTATGAATATTGAAAATGGAATTACTGAATTGAACGTTTGGGTTACTCAAAACAGAACTTTGTGTTATTACCTACTTTCTAGGATTTTAATTATTGATGTCGAATTTTGAAAAGAAAATCGCATGAAAAGTGTCAGGTGTCAAGTAAAAGCAGGTAACAAAGATTTTGGGTGTAATCGACTTATTCACATGAAATAAAATTGTGTTTTTTTATTATAAAATGCCAGTAGAAAAAATCTTGTATACAATACGTTACGAAACGATGTCTTTTAGTCACTCGACGTGTTGTCCAACTCGGCTTTGCCTCGTTGGACAATTTTCACGTCGCGTGCCTAAAAGACGCTCATTTCGTAACTTATTGTATAAATAGCTATTTTCCAATTATCTGAACTGTGTGATTTTTACCTCATAATAATAGACTGTGAGATAGGGGCTGTTTAGTGGAGTCATTTTTTTTTGTCTGGCATTTTGAGGGCTGAATGTGGCTACTAAGCTGATGACAATATGGGTGATTCTAATGCCGGCCTCCCGTTCGAAAATTTGCAGAAGAAAAAAATTGATTTACATGAAGAATTTTTTTTTTAATGATCTCAAATTTTCTAGCTTTTAAATAAAAGATTGACATTGATAAATGATTCACCCATGAAAAATAT